TTTTTTTAAAGATGACCGGTAAGGGGATCTCAACCCTTGGCTTGGTGTTGTCAGCACCACGCTCAGCCAGTGAGCAAATTGGCCATCCCTATATAGGATCCGAACCCGTGGCCTTGGTGTTATCAGCACCGCACTCTACCGAGTGAGCCACGGGCCGGCCTGGGTTCTGTACTTTTTTTTTTTTTAAAGATGACCGGTAAGGGGATCTCAACCCTTGGCTTGGTGTTGTCAGCACCACGCTCAGCCAGTGAGCAAATTGGCCATCCCTATATAGGATCCGAACCCGTGGCCTTGGTGTTATCAGCACCGCACTCTACCGAGTGAGCCACGGGCCGGCCTGGGTTCTGTACTTTTTTTTTTTTTAAAGATGACCGGTAAGGGGATCTCAACCCTTGGCTTGGTGTTGTCAGCACCACGCTCAGCCAGTGAGCAAATTGGCCATCCCTATATAGGATCCGAACCCGTGGCCTTGGTGTTATCAGCACCGCACTCTACCGAGTGAGCCACGGGCCGGCCTGGGTTCTGTACTTTTTTTTTTTTTAAAGATGACCGGTAAGGGGATCTCAACCCTTGGCTTGGTGTTGTCAGCACCACGCTCAGCCAGTGAGCAAATTGGCCATCCCTATATAGGATCCGAACCCGCGGCCTTGGTGTTATCAGTACCGCACTCTCCCGAGTGAGCCACGGGCCGGCCCTCATAAATCACCTTTAAGAAAACTTTCTTAATGTTCTAGATCAAAAGAGGCTAAAGAGACAGGACAACTAAATGCAACATCTGATTTTATCCTGAGTCTTGTTCTGGAGGACAAACATAGGCTATAAAAAGCACTATCGGGTCAACTGATAAAATCAGAAAATAGAAAGTAGATTAGATACAAACATTGTATCAATATAAATTTATGGAATTGATAACTAAACTGTGATTAAATGAAAGAATATCACTAATCTTAGGAAATGCAGTATTTAAAGGTAAAGGGCCATGACGTATGTAACTTACCCTCAAATGATTCAGAGAAAAATCACGTGTGTGTGTTTATACATGCATATGTATATACACTCACACACATACACATAGAGGGAGTAAGATAATAAAGCACATGGGGTAAAATGTTAACAGCAGATGAATCTGATAAAAGGGTATATTGATGTTCTTTGTATTACTTTATTTCTCCAGGTCTTTGAGAGTTTGGAATTACCTTCAAATCAAAAGTTAAAAAAAAAAAAAAAAAAAACACACTTTTCCTTTTTTTTTTTTTTTTTTTTGTTGGCTGGCCAGTATGGGGATCCAAACCCATGACCTTAGTGTTATAAGGCTGCACTCTAAATAACTGAGCTAACCAGCCAGCCCCTCCCCCCAAAAGACTTCAAGAGAAGACTGTGCCCCATTTGGAGGGTGCTCTTCTGCCCCACCTCTTCTGTGACCACCCCCCCCTTTTTCTTAAAATAAAAAGATGACTGGTAAGGGGATCTTCACCCTTGACTTGGTGTTGTCAGCACCACACTCTCCCAAGTGAGCTAACCAGCCATCTCTATATAGGGATCCGAACCTGTGGCCTTGGTGTTATCAGCACCACACTCTCCCAAGTGAGCCATGGGCCGGCCCTCTGTGACCCCAATTCTGACCTGCAAGCCCACACCATGCCCCCCTCCTCTGAATTCTCAGAGCACCTCTCTATGTGCCCCTCCCCTGTACCTGGCATAAAGACCTCCTCATTTCATTCTCTTTCTGTGAGTACACGTCTTGTCTCTCCAGGAAGACTGTGGGCTTCCTGGGGACTGAGCTCAAACTTACCACCCTCTGCTCTTGTGCCCAAAGTGCTGCTGACTCCTGCTCAGCTCATCGCAGCCTTCGCTTCCTCCAGGGAGTCTCCCCAGCCTCCGGATGGGTTTAGTTGCCTCCTTGGGCCTCCCCCAGCCTCCAATCACTCTGTGGTGACAGTGCCCATTAACTCCTTTCTCTCACTTGAAGGGGACCTCCATGAAGGCAGGTCCTGCCCATCAGAAGCTGCTTGATAAGTATTAGTTGAACAACTAAGAAGAGGTAGTCTCTTTTTGCTTTCCCAAAGGCCTTTGTGCCTTTTCAAATGCTGTTCCCTCTGCCTGGAACTTTTTCCCTTCCTTTTTGCCTACTCTCCTATAACTCAGTCCTTCTCAACCCACGAACTCAACTTAAATATAACTTCTTTTCTGCTTCTCCAAGTCTTGGCCAAGTTCCCTATGATCACACTTCCTTGGCAACCTACACCTCTCCATCCTAAATCTATTTATCTTCTTTTATTTGTCTTTCCTGCCAGACCATAAAACTCCAAGGAAAGTCATTGTTGTAATTCCCAGCATGGTGCCTGGCATATACAGTTGATCAATAACTATTTGCTGGCTGGCTGGATGGATGGATGAACGGATGGAGGGATGGTTGGATGGACCAGTGAATGGACAGATTGACAGAAGGATCAATTAATATGGAGCAGTTGGACAATTTTTTTGGCCACCACCAGAGGGCAGCATGCCACAACCAAACCACCCCACCTTTGGGTAGGACTGCCAGACGGACAGATCCCTAGTCCTCACTCCCTCCTAATGACTCAGACAGGAGGGCAGACCACAGAGAAGATGCAACACCCAAACAGCCCCTCCTAGACCCGGAAGCAGTTCTGGGCCAAAAGCAGCTGGTGTAGGCCTAGCACATACCCAGCATGCCAATACCGAGCATGAAGGCGTCCATTCCGTAGGGCATGACTCGAGACCTGCCTCGGGCTGAGCCCGTGGGCGACATCACCTCCTTTGGCTGAGCTTTCTTACATTCCACCTGCAATGAGACCTGGCGGTTAGTCCTTCCTACAGACATAGAGTCACTGTCCTTCCTGTTCCCTGGCAGTCCTCCTTATTATTAATTTCATAGTTACCATTTGTGGGGCACTTACTATGTGTTAGGCACGGTTTTTGTGGCTTTGCATGCAATACTTCATCGAAAGCTTACACCAACCCTATGATGGAGGTGCTAGGGTCACTCCCATTTTACAGATGTGAAAACAGACTCAGAGAGCGGACATCATCTCTCCCAATTAACCTCCATATGACACTGCCATCCTGTCTAGATTTTCCAGCTCTGCCCTGCTCACTGTGAGGTCCCCTGCCTGCCTCCAGAACCCTCAGAGCTTCCCTGGCTGGCTCAGCCTGGAGCCTTCATCTCTTGCTGCACTTCCGCCCCCATCCAATCCCAACTCACCATTTTTTTTTTTTTTTTGTCTTTTTCCGTGTC